CCACACTTTTTAATATGAACATGTTTACTTAATATTCAGTGGGTTTTCTGTGTTGGTTCCATATGTTTCATTGCATTACTATGCCTACAATTCGCAGACGCGCTAATTTCAATCAACTTTACCAGTTTGAGAGGGGTCGTATAATCTGGTTACGTGAAGTCGGATTTTCTTTTTAGTCTAATCATATTAGCAAATTTGCTCGAAATAATTGTAAAGTCTGGTTTTATTGGTGGAAGTTGTTCAAGAGTAAATATATTTTAACAAAATTTATTTACAGCTAGTACTTTGTTATCATAACGTTTGAATGAATTATGTTATGTCCTCAAGCCATCATGACATGGAAATTCTGTGTCAGTTCTGGTCCAATTTCTGCATAAGAACATCTTGTACCTGTTGTTGGGAGATTGTACAGAAATATTGTAACGAAACCATCCTCTATTTTAGTGGCGATCTGCTTGAAATCATTATCCTGCTATGAAAGTAAAACTTCTGATCCCCAATTTTTCAGCACTGCTGTTCAAAATATTTCCTTCGACGAAGCTTAGCTTTCCAATACCATTGTACGTCACGCCCCAGACTGAAGCGTTCCTGCCACCATGTTTCACTGTTGGGCTGACATGTCTCATTTCAAATTAAATGTTTGGTTTTCTCCATAGTAGTCTAATCACATTAGCAAATTTTCCCGAAATAATTGTAATGTTTGATTTTATTGGTGCAAGTTGTTCAAGGGGGTATTTAAAACATGGATGCATGAAATGGGTACACCAATTTTTATGGGAAAACTTTTTGTTTGTCAACAAAGAATACGAAAATGCGTTTTCTGGGAATCAATCGACAGTGTTGTATGGAACTAAAGAACTTTTCATATACAATTTTTAGGTATTTTGTGAGACCAACAAAATGTGACTACACGTAAAAGGATCCGACTAATAGCGAAAATGTTATTGCCTAAAAACCAGGCAAAATGCAGGTTTCGGCACTTGTTGGTAATGCGACGATAATTTTACGCAAATTCTTCAAATCCGTAGGATTCATACTTCTAAATAACAACACCAAAATTGGAGTATATTGGTCAAGTAGTTTTTTGAGAATTTCTAATTATTTATCCCAGAACACCTGTCTCTACTAGTTTATTGAGCAATATACAGGGTTCGTTCCAAGAGTATTTAATAGCAAAATACAGGTGTTTACGTTGCCGATATGTCACATTTTAAGTTACGTAATATGGGTGCCACTACTATCAGGAACCCTGAAATGAAATCGATTACGATGAGAGGATGATCATTTTCATCCAAATATTTGCAATTTGTTACATTGTCAGGCGGACTAAGAACATGCGTATTCAGCCTAGGGCCAAAAGAGCCATCGCCTAGGGTGCCAGGCTGCAAAAATTTCTAGATTACACTTGTCCCGTGTCAGCGTCAGCGCTCTCCTATTGTGAAGATATGTTTTCTTTTTAAATTGTAGGAAATTTCAGACTGATAAAACATGATATAACTCAAAAGCAAGCACAATTTGTTGCAAATAGATGTTTGTGACATAACCTCAAAATAGAGCGCTGACACGGAGAAGTAGAAAACTATAACAATCAAGGAGGCCATAAAGGCGCCCTACAATTGTAGGGACGACTGACGATACGGGCCTTAATCCACGTGTCGTCCTGGTCAATTTTCGATTGTGTTACAATGTGCAGCTATATTTACTGGCATCGGTGGCTTTATGGGATATTAGATAACCCATTATATTGAAATATACTTCTACATAATATGCTTTACTTCACTCATTTTTATGGCTCACATTTTAATTTTCATGTTTGCTGTGCATGCGACATGCAAGTACACATTAAAATAGCATACGTCGACGAGGGAACTTTATAGATACGATAACAGTTAAAGCCGCACGAAAAAGAAAAAGATGTTTTAAATGTGTCACTCGCGCATCCACCGTATCTGATAAATGCTAAGCACATTCGCCATTTTTATCATCTTGATACACGATTGCTTACATTCATTTTTTAAATATGGTACGATTTATCAATTGAATCGGTCAGTGCAAAAACCACCCAGGTCCATTATTTACCTACATTATAGTTAGATGCGTATTCTGAGTGAACAACTTTTATAACGTAATAAACGTTAAGTGCTAAAACTTTATAAGCCCGGAACTTACGTGTTTTTTGCACGCACTACTTAACCGCGGGTACTTGAATGAGTCATTTCAAAAATGTTTTATTTTCGTTTTTATGTGCTAACATATATGCACCAATTATACATTATTTATTGACTATAAAAATGAGATTACAGATTATCTGCTTGGTCCTAAATCACTTGTATTTCATGTTTCCTGCCAAAGCCATTGACTCAATCCTTCTCATTTGTATGACTTTTAAATATACGCTAAATATTTTAGATAGAGGTTCGTAAAAAAACGATTGAATTTCTCTAACTACATCTATCATGCAGTGTCAACTTTTTGTTGAACAAATACATGTTATGTCTGGTAGTCAACAACCGATTGGCGATTATTGAAGAAAGTTGAAAGAATAACTGTGTATTTTTCCACGATGTTCGATTCATGGTTTAGACGTAAAACGGAGAATTCGTCTTTCCCAGGTAATCACTTCGCCATGGTTTCCCTTATGTACCGTGAAATATTATACATGCAAAATCAAAACATGTGGCATGTTAAGAAGACAATATTTAACTGTAATTTCAATAATAAACAATGGAAATATGATTATTTTGCTTCATTTATACAGGGTGTCCAAGATGAAGATTAGGGTGTTTCAGTTTATTGTTGCATAACTTTAAGATTCGGTAGAATTTTTAAAATTAATGCATAAAGTCTATATAAACATGGGTCGAAAAATGCGTGGCTTCCGAAATACATGGTGTTTGAATTTACTTTCTAAAATAGTTTTTTTTTAAATATTTCGAACAATATTTGATGTATAACAGTGAAAATTGGTATACAAGGGTTTTTTGGTTCGACAAAACGAGCCATGTACATAGTTTTACTGCACCTGTAGTATATTAAACTGACCGAAAATTTTTTCTTAGTGCAATTTTTTTGCTTTTTGAATAAAAAAATGATTCTTCGTACCTTCCAACATAAAAAAGCTCTCTTGTGAATTTTCGTTATAGTTAGCTGTTTTTGAGATATTTCGATTTTTAAGGTTCGATACATTTTTAATTATTTATGATAAAATAACGTTAAAAAGTCAGTATCTCGATAATTTTTAGAAGTAGGCTGTGCCTGCAAATATTTGTGAGTAGATCTGATCAAAAGAAATGTTTTTTTCCTTTAACATTTTTGTGGTAAAATCAAAGTAACAAAGTTATAGCCCTTTAGAAGTTTGAGTACCGCCCTGTCTCAATAATAATATTATGTGCTCGTGTTTGGAAACAACGGATATAATCCGCCTTATCGATTCATCGCATCGGAAACAAAAAAGCGAAAGAATTTGAAACGCTGATCACGATGTTTTTATTCAATCAATGTGTCAGTCGGTAACGCGTGAGTGAATAGTGGTGTTTGCTGCGTGGCTCAAACGAAATAAAAAATGGCACATGTTTATGCGGATCGGTTTCCCAATCGAGTGCAACCAACCTCTCGTACCTTTGTTAATGTAGTACAACGGGCTCGTGAATCAGGTGACTTAAGACCTCACAGGGGAGGGCATGCCGGTGGTCCAAGACCTCACGATCAAATACAGGTCCGCACTGAAATACTTGTCGGGAGGATACTTTATAAAACAAGGTAAAAATTTTTTTTTTATTTTTTTTTATTTTTACACACATATTTTGGTTTATCTTCCTTCTACAATCATTATCTGAAAATTAATGACTCAACTTCAAAGTCATCCTGTATATATATATATATATATATATATATATATATATATTGTTAATATTGTTTTATAATCGTCAAAGATGCCAGGCGGTCACTTTAGCATTGAAGAAAAGTCTGTTGCGTCTAGAAAAATAGGAATCTTTAGAGGAAACTTAGGATTGGCCAAATCCACAGCACAATTTATTTTGCGTAAAAATAGATAACATCCCTATAAATTCAGGATTTGCCAAGGACTTAGACCAAGGGATAGCCACGGCGCCTGCATTTTTTTTATAATTAAGAAAACAAATGAAACATGTGATACATCATTGAATTCATTGAACAAAATTCTATCAGATTCAGGGTGTACTTTTTTCGGACCATATAAAAAAATAAAGTTGATGATGGTTTCTGAAGAAGGAAACAAAATTTTAAAACACCATCATGTAGTGCCTAAAAAGTGCCAATGAAAAAGTTCCATTAGTTTTTTGGTATTTCTTAAAATAAGGTAAGAAAATTCTTAGTTTTTCCATAACCATGAAATTTTTGCAAGTTTCTCTACGGCATGTAAATACACTCCCAAAGAACGCAGCTTTTTCCTAATTTTAGTCTTAACAGTGTTTCGGGCTTTTTCGATGATTTATTATTATTAGCAAACTGTGACAGCTATTCGAAATTTAATTCTTTTGGAACACATTATGCCTAAAAAAGGTCATAAAAACCGGTTTATTTGCCAGTGACACAGTTTTTATTGTCTGCTGGAAACTTTCAATTGTGGGACTTGGGAGGTTTTTTAATATCTTCAAAATCGTCAACTGAAATGAACTAAAATTTGGTATGTGGATTTACCTAAGTATTGTCCACATTCAAAAGTATTTACTTAAAATTAACGTACAGCAGTGGCGGAGATACAGGGGATTAGTGGCATTATTTTTCCAAATAAAAATACTACACCACTGTTTTTTTAGTAGTACGCCACTGTTTTTTCTTTCGTATAAATAAAAAATAATTAGAGCATTCATAAGGAGCCGAGAGAGTTTCAAAATGAAATATGAGGCGTTGATACCAGCTTCACGTTTCTTGGGAGATACTTTGTCAAAGTTATGTGTTATACGGTTGTTACAGTTACTACTACCATTTTTTTGTCAAAAGTTTATTTTTCCATTCCCTTTGTATCAAAACTTTCAGGACTATGTTACTAGTAGGGATTAATATTAAAAATAATATCAATCAAAAGAAAACTCACTCATAGTATATCCAAAGTCGTCTTCTTCTTCGGGATCTGCTTTGGCTTCTTCTTTTGACCTTTTAACGTTTGCAGCGCTGGCCCTGTCAATCTGTAAGAAAAAGTGTCCATTGTATTACAAAGCTCAAAGTAATCTTGCCAAGATATGAAAAAATACCACATGCAAGCAACAACAGAAACATCTTTTGACCAGTATAATTTCTTCTTAGAATAGGAAAGGTGCCCTATGGATTTTGTGGCAATGCCTATTTAAATGTGATGGTATCAATCTAATTTTTTCGCTTACCTGTTGGCCTTTAGCAGACATCGTCCGTCCTTCCAACTCTCTAACATCGTCATCTTCGGATTCTGAGTCTGACTCACTTGCAGATCCAGCAGCCGTTTCATTTTTCTTCTTCTGAGTTTCGTCATCGGATAGAGTTTCCGAGATGCTGGGCGCTGTTTCGAACGGTGAGGGTGATTGTCCAGGAGTTTGGTTAGCAGGCTTCTCTTGAGGAATATGGTTTTGTATACTCTGTAAACAAAGAACAAAAGTAATTCAGTAAAATTGGGCACAGAAATGCTTAAGCTCATAACGGAAGCTTTTGCCATCTTTGCCAGCGACAAGGGATTTACAGTGGGGCGACGGGGAGCCCCTCTCAGACGCCCCAGTCAGTAATTTTTGTGTCTTGATATAAAAAGTACCTTGTTGGACCAGAATCGTCAGATGTGCCCCTTCCTCTAGCCTAGACGTAATGCCACCTCCGCTCTTGCAGACGCCCCCCCTCCCCTTCACTTATCAATTTTTATTCGTCGATAAGCCCCACCCGTCGGAGACGAACATCTTTCTCAACATAAACCACCGCTGCGCCCCGCCTCCTAGACAGATTCCTAAATCCGCCCTTGACCAGGGTTGACTGAGTAATAAAGCTTATTGTGTCTTAAATCAATGAAGAAAATAACAAACAGACAAAAACCGAATTCTTATAAGGTAAGTGGACCATGGGACGCCATGGTTTTTGGAAGGCCAATCATTAAAAAGTTTTCTTCTCTCCCTTCTCACACTAAAACCCACCGAATTCAAGAACACAGACGCGGCGGAGGGTCACTCGCGTCGTTATTTCGTCAACGTTGTCTGTAGCTTTGTTGAATTCGGTCGTCGACGTTAAAATTATAATACGAGCTAACAGCAAATCGCTTCAAGAAAATAAACTATTTTCTTTAATTTTTTTCACTGGGACTTGATATACATCCCAGAAGTCGACGTCAAGCCAGAAAAGGGGAATAGGCCAAGTGATAATAGTTATCAGAAATATATACAAAAAATATAAGCCGTGTACTTTTCAAATTATAGGCTTTAAAAAATCGGAAACATCTGCACCCTGTAACAAAAGTTTGGAACGTATCAAATATCTGACGAATAACTCATCTCATTTTTTTAATAATAGGTAGGTTTAGGGTCGAAATCACGGCCTATCCGTTGATGACATCCGCGATGTTGCCAAATCTACAGTTTTTCAGAAACTGGTAGCAACTTTTGTTTTTCTAATGGAATGCTATACATTTTATTCGATATTTGTACCCGGCAAGCAATTCTTAATACTATTTATTAAACATACTTTGACGTATATCTCAAGGTTTTCGAAATAACGGTAACAGGTATTTTTTTCATCTAAGCAATGACTGCTATGGAAAATAATTTCCTGTCATTTCTGGTATTGAAAAGTTCATTGAATTTTATTAGTGGAGTTAATAAAGATATGATATATTGAACTAAAACGAAGAGGACTGAAATTCTAATATTGATTATAATAGTGTATTTTGATATACCAAGGAAACAAGACAGAAATTAAAAACAAAGAAAACGATAAAATCTAGCTGTTAATTTAAACTTCAAAACATAATAAAAATCATATTAAATGTTTAAATTTCCGTCCACATACTTTTCGGCAATAAACTAGATATTGCGGAAATGCGAACATTTTGAAGACATCCGCTTTCTTCGAATCTTTTGAATTCATTTTCTACCATCTTGTTGAAGCCATATTCTATCGTTGGGCACTGTGTTATTTACTAAAAGAAAACAATATTGATATTTTTTATTGTTTGTGGTAATTAAAGTTACTTACAAGGATTGGGTAATATTACCGCCAAAGCTGGGACAACGTGATTCCTCAAAATATGCATTTATATTTCAGCGTTTAAATTTTCTTCCATGAAAAACGGACTCTAAATGACCTATGATACCGGCCCAAAAAAAAATTTTTTGGATATTGTGTATGATGTTCCCCTACCCAATGAGAATCTTCCCTGGCCCAGTAGCGGCAGTTATGGCGATTAATAGTTCCACTCAAAAAAAAACATATTTCATACTAAAAATGTTCATTTCTATTACACATGTCCATTATGGTATCACAGATTTGTAAACGCCTATCAAAATGATTATCTGATAGCTCTTGAACCAAGGTGACTCTGTAAGGATGGAATTATTCCGTCTTTAAAATGCATTCCACAGACATGTGAGATGAATTGTTATCTTAACGAAGTGTTCTAGTAGAGGTGAGTGTTTTCAAAAGCCTTATTTCCGTCAGTGGGCGTTTTGGGATGGCTAGATCGTGGAACATCCTTTACATGCCCTGTTATTTCAAATTTCCTCAAAACTTTTCCAATAGTAGAACTTGTTATTGGATTCCGGTTGGGATATTTGTCATTAAACATACCTCACACTTCTTGCTGTGTGCGTCTACGATCATTAGAATTTCTATACTCTCGGTTTCAGTTAAATGAATCATTCTCAATAACTAAACTCAATGGACTTTTAAATGTCAGAAATATAAATAACTTTTAGTGTTTCAATATTATTGTTTGACTGCGAATATTTCGAAAACTATGAGGTCTACGTCAAAGCATATTCAATAAACAGTATTCATACTTTCTTGCAGAATAGAAGTATCGAATAAAATATATAGCATTCCATAAGAAAAACAAAAGTTCTTACCACTTTCTGAAAAACTGTAGATTTGGCAACATCGCGAATATCATCAACAGATCCGCCATGGTTTCTAAGCTAAACTTACCAATTTTTAAGAAAAATAGATGAGACATTCGTCATATATTCGATGCGTTCCAAAGTTTTGTTACACACTGTATAAGTATTCACGATGGTACTAAAGAAAAAAAATATTATTTCCATTTTATTCAAAATATCCTAGGAAATCTAATAATTCCCTGCAAGGCCGAATAAAAAATTTGACAGTTGGACTTGTTACGGCGCAATTGTCTTATAAAGAACATCTAAGAATCACGAGAATATTAATAGTTATATTTTAGTTGTAGGAGGAGGTATACTGAACCGATTTTTAAATAATACCACCTCAATATATACTGTGCTTAAACATTATTAATTAGTATGCCAGAGGTAGCGCAAAAGGATTTGGAAAGAATGCAAGACTAAAATGACATATTGAATGTAACAAGAATGCCGGTCGGAGAATTATCACCGGATTTATTTGGGCTATAACTTACATCTTGAATTGATCAGTATCATTGGTTAAAATATTTATTATTGCAAGGTAATATGCTTCATAAAAAGACATCACGTACTCCTCACCCTAGGCAACAAAAATAATACTAAAACTCTTCCACTTTCAAATTGAGAGGCACTTCTCCTTTTGTTGGCGTCATTTATTTTTATTTATTTAAAAGATGCAGGGGTAGCATATTTTCTCAGGGGGTAAATCCTAAAGAGCCCCAAAATTGCAAAGTAAAGCATACTAAGAATACAAATTTTAATTGTATGAGCCTGTTTGGCTAACTTGTGCCGAACACAATCCTTCGAGACAGCGTTGCGTAGGGAGTGCAGAGTCAACCTTTTTCGCCATTTTTCTATGTGGAAATGTTCAGCCTTGTATCATTCTCCGGATATAGTGAGTAAACAGCAGTTTATCCGAAAAAATAAATCACAAAAATTGTCAAGTATACAACTCTTCACGCGAAGAAAAAAAAAGCATTTTCTAGAACCTTGAGTAAACCTTGGTGTAAATAAATAATAGTTTAAACAAACTAAAAAAACACGCTTCTATAGCTATCCAAGCTAAAAAGTAGAGTTTATATAACAGTAGCAGATGGTCCAACAATCAATCATAATTAATGACCTCAAAATAAAATTATAATAAAATTTAAGATATTAACAGAATAATTCAATTCAGAGTAAAAAGTGTGATGTACTTGATATATATATATATTACAATCATTCTATTAGCAACTATCTATGAGAGGAGAGTTATGAAAATGTAGTAAAATGCACCCCATACTCTAAATTGAATTATTCTGTTAATAACTTAAATTTTATTATAATTTTATTTTGTAGGTCAATAATTATGATTGATTGTTCGACCATCTATATAAATTCTGTAATTAAAAATTATTTTCTACTTGTTAGTTCACTCAGCTATGAAATCTGTTTTTTTTTTTTAGTTTTTTTTAACCTATTATTTATTTTTAATTTTTTAGTTCGATTTATCAATTAGTTTTTTGTAGACATGAGGTATTGAAATATCCTACGAATCATTTCGTAATCAAATCATTTCATTTAAAGCTTCACTGTTGCATGGGGTTTTCCTGTTAATTTAGAGCAATCAAGTTATTCAATCCGAATACGGTCTAAAGATCTTACGCGACTAAGTGCTACATAAGCTTTTCCAGCTACAAACAGTCGCGAGCCTAGATAAATGACTGCATTATCGATTGTACAACCTTGCATCTTGTGGACGGTCGAAGACCAACTCAGGATTGATGGCAACATTCGCAATGAACAAGTTGAGAATGCACTACCTTGAAAAAGTATCTGCCTCCGTTGTGTTGGGCCGAGTGCCCATTCAACAAAGTGTAAGTCCGAAACTGTACGCATGAGCATATCGCGAGCTAGCTTTATCTCTCTTACTCCCCTAAGAGGATCTATAAAAGAATTATTTATCAATCCTGGCGGTCCTAATAAGGAGAATGGAAAACTGTTATTAGATACGTGTGCGAAGCTTCAAATTAATCAAACTTCTGGAAATTGGTGAAAATTATGCTCAAAGATGGGCCAAGCTAATATAAGCGTGTTAATAAAAAAGCGTGTTAAAAAAAGGTATACCACAATCTGTGAGGATTGAACTCACGACCCCTGGTTTACAAGACCAGCGCTCTGCCACTGAGCTACAGAGACTTGTAGTTTCGGTATTCTTAAGGCGGCATTTGAAATCCGTGGTTTTTTATTAACATATCTGCTTTTTACATAATTTCATGATTAAATATAATGGAAAACAATTATCAGACTATACATGTGCGAATTTTCACACCTGTGCATGCAACATGCACACATTCTGGCTCCGCCTACGAGATCCGCCGGGTGGTACCTCCGCGTTCGACAGTCAGAGACCGTCTACCACCTACGGACAATCACAACATCCATAGCCAAGAGAAAAATTTCTCCTGGGACGGGACTCGAACCCGCACAGCGCACGGCGACGTATCAGGAGACCGAAGAGTCTACTACTGCGGCCACCGCTGCTGCCTAAATTAATCAATCTTCTGAAAATTGGTAAAAAAATGAAAATTATCTCAAAAATTCCGTTACTATCATACATACAGGCCAAGCTAATAAAACCTTCTTAAACACGCACACTTGTAGAAGTACTTCTACTATATGTTCAACAACTCACTACCTATTTCAAGAACAACAAATGTTAACGGTTGATGGTAAAACATAATGCATGAAGACGATTTTCCAAAAGCTACAAATCAGTTACCTGTGTATTTTTATTGGCGTCACTATCCTTGGAGAATATAAGACTCGGTATATTCTCATTGGGCGTGGGTGACTCAGGTGGGGGCGGTGCTGGAGACTTTAAAGAAGCTCTCTTGATGGAAGGACTTTTTGCTGGGGGCGGCGGAGCGGCTCTCGACTTCGTACTTTGTCTTCTTGCTGGGATTGCGTTGGATTCAGAATCGTCATTTTTCTGAAAACGAAACTGGCTAAATTAAATATGTAGACTCGAAGTGCGTTACAAAACATTTGAATGGATGTTTGTGATGTGAAAATATTCCAAGTAGAGCTGAGCCGAATTGTTCTTTCGATTCGTTCACGATTCCGATTCCTTTCGATTCCTATTCCCTGTAATGCGCAAGTTGAAATGCGAGGTTACGTCAATAGGCCAAGAAATATGGAGATTTTGTATATGGAAATTTCTACAACTTCGAGCACAGTAATTTTTTTATGGTATTGTCAGGTTATTGCTTCCTAATGCTAAGGTCAAACCGTCATCATTATAGGGCTGGAGCATTCACCACCATTATGAGAAACGCGTTTGATCGGAAATCTCGAAAACCATTGATTCTATGTGAAGAAGTAATATAAACAATTTTGCTTGTACAGGGTATTTCAGAAAGATGCTTGCCAAATGATACTATGATTATGTTCTAAATGATTATTATTATTGTTATTATTCCTTAGATACCTACTGTGATATCGTTACTTTGGAACGATTCGTTCAGGACTAAACCAGCTCTAATTTTAAGGGCAAGAACGGTTAGTTCTTTATTTTGTATTCTTTTGTCCAGTGCTTGGGCAATGCAGTTACTATGCATAACGTAAACTGAACATGACACTATTAATAATTAGGGAGACTTTCGATCTAAAGAGCTCTCCACATAAGGCCAGAATGCTAGCTAGTCTTCAAAGGCAGCGATGTTCAAGTTTGCTTCCATTAGGTGATGCTTGTGTGGTCGGAGGTCGCGCTGACAAAAGTAGATGGAGAAAAGACAGGCTTGACAGAGAGACCTGTTTTCCATAACTCCGTCACGTTTTGACATCTACTGACGTAAAAGCTGATCAGCAATAGACATCCTTGTCTGTGTATAACCCTAAAGATGACCACCAACCTAACTAGTGCCCTCTACTTCTAGACTTTCAAATTCCGTTAAGTTCATGTCAAAATGCTTTATCTAGGGTATTTCACAATAACTATATCCGACAAGTTTTAACCACATATGCACTGTTACGAAAGAAGTTGATTTCTCAAAAAAATTGTAATAAAAGTCCTACAGAAATTAAGTTATAAGCCTGAGTTTCAACAATAGATTGAAAAATAAATATCTGTATTTTGCGTTCATCGTCGTGATATTAAACACGCATTAATAATGTACTGTAGCGAATGTTATACCAAACAACTGACGAAAACAAAATACAAGGATTTTTTTCCATACTGATAAGAACGTGAAAATATTGTTTAATCTGTATCGTGGGTGATCTGAATGAAGAACGGTCAATTTTTGTGAAATTAAATTCTGCGAGTTTGTTTTTAGTTATGAATTAATAAATCAATAGTATTTGGAATTTCTTCGAAATGATTTGCCGATCGTTCTTGAAGATGTACCATTGGCGGTCCGAGCACAGATGTGGTTTCTGCACGATGAGGCACCTCCGCATTTTTGTTTACAAGTTCGTGATGTTTTTAATCAGGTATACCAGATACGCTGAATCGGAAGGGGTGGATCAATTTCATGGCCTCCACGTTCTCCCGATCTAAATCCTCTGGGCTCCTTTTTATGGGGAGACTTGAAAACGAGGTATACCGTACTCCAGTTCAGAATATTGAAGAATTGAATGACCGAATCACAGTGGCTGCCGATAATTTGAGCCTTCAGCAACAGCAGGAAGGAGGTATATTTGAATTAGTGCGCCCAAGCTTGCATTGCAGTCAATGGAAACAATTTTGAACAGCTTCTATAAGTAATTGAACTATTAAACATATTATTCTGTTATCTCGATTTCTGTAGGACTTTTATTACATTTTTTTTCTTGAGAAACCAACTTCTTTCGTAACAGTGCATATGTGGTTAAAATTTGTCGGATAAGTTGTGAACACCCTGTATAAGAAATATAATATACTTTATTCCCTTACCCACGGTATTAAAGATTGTATGACAAACGTAACAGGATTATCGGCTTTTCTGATGGCCTGCACTGCTGTCTCGTGGGTCGCATGTCTCAGATCAATCCCACTGACCTCCAATATACGATCTCCAGTCTGCAATAATATAGTCATCAGACAATTATTTTATATTGACATAAGAGAGTTTTTAGCGCAACAAAAAGAATGAATCGTTAAGCCTTCCGTTATATTTGACAGCGACAGCAAATAACAACGAAAACAGTGTTTTCATTACCACTAAAGTGAACCGTGGTAGTTTGACAGTTTTGACAGCTTACTTATTTTTTCGATTTTGACGAGAAGCTAAACCCAAAATTTCAAAACCTTGTATATATGTTTCCATAGAAAAGTTCCAGTAATATTTGTGTCCAAACTGGACAAGAAATAAATAAGTTCAGAATAATAAAGCCAACAAGTAGACGCAACCTTGCCACATTGCATGCTTAACAAAAATCAGGACAATTCAGTTTATTTAATATTTTACCTATTTCTTACGTTTATTGTTAACTGTGACCTACTCTATTATATTTTAACCAATATGTTTTCATAACTTGAAATTATTCTAATTAAGCTCATCCAGCTTTAAGAATTTTGGGATAAGGCAAAAATAATCTTCCTATTCTCCGAAGCTTATGGAGTCTTATTTGAATAACGAATAACGAAAGTTTGTCCTGCTACTTCGCAAAATCGAAATAAGGAAGGTCATATCGAAGCAATAAAACAAGAGCACCAAAAACTCTCTATCAAATTTTTTAACATTTTTCATAAACAAGGGTTAATCCTTACTTTAAATTGTCCAGTTTTTCCTGCAGGGCTATCAGGTACTACATTCTTTATAAAGATACCCAAGAATGCATCTGATGCCTTTTCAGTTGAAGTGAAGTCGACCTGCAATTATAACAACGAATTACTCTTCAAACAATGTGCAGAATATTATACCAAAATAATGAGATAGTAGTGCAATATTTATTTTTGAATTACGAGGGCTATTTGTAAAGTAAGAGCCGGTTGCGCCTCGTGTCCGCGCATCCTGTCACGTGACGTCCGTTCAACCTTAGACACGCCTCACACTCACAAAACCTGCCGATTGTGAAGTGCGCCCAGTAATTAGGTTTTTGAACGCGGAAACAGACGCAGTTATGTTGGCAATTGCTGGATCATTCGCGATACAGCTCTGACACCATCAGACTGTTACATTTGTCCGAATCGTGGTGGAAAGCGCTTGGAAAATGATGACATGTTGAAAGAAATGGTTACTAACTGGTTTTACGGTCACGCAGCAGCGTGCTTTGATGGTAGGATCCAAAATTTGCTGCCTCGAATTGACAAATGTTCAAATGTTTACAGTGACTTTACGTTAAAAGATGAAAGAAAAATTTTCATATTTTAATTCCTATTACAATTTACGTTCATAAATAATGTTTCTCTAACTCTATTACAAAACGGCTCTTACTCAAAAAATGGTCCTCATGCCTTGCTATCGGGACCAAAATGTTTACCTTAATGTGAAAATGATATAGAACTTGAAAACGTAAACAGATCGGTTTTGAAGAACTATTCTGCTATTGATAGAAACTATCACAATGAGCTACTTGTAGCAAAATGTGGGTCTTAACTAACAAATTGAGAATAGATAGAAGGAGCTAGCATGCGATTTATTTGTTCCAAAACCTCCTAGACAGTAGTCAGGATACAAGTGCATACTATAAGTGGATCAGACTTAGACCGCCAGCTTAACAGTTGTTGACACTTTAAATTAAACTGGTATTTACCGTTGAAAACATATGATTGTGTGTGATTTTGTCACATTTTAAACATCGGCGTTGCCTAAGGGCATGTACCTCAACGATAAGGTTTTACCTGGATAGTTGTGAGGTAGTTTCGATTCATTTCATTCCAATTGTTTCCTTCTTTGAGTGTTCAATCCCAATCTAATAATTGCTATCAAAATTTTATAACCAACATAGTATTTAAAATTTAGAGCATTGAGGATAAACTAAAATATTTGATCATGCCTCTAAAGTTCTTAGGAAGTAGATGCGGGTTGTTATTTAGCAACCTGTTATTTATAAGCTGTTATTCGGAAAAACATGTAGGAGAAGCCTGTTTACTATCGTTGATGCTTTTTATCCGCTGTTTGAGCTATATTTATGCGTGTGTATTCTGTGCTGCCTTAACATTCTCTCTTATCCATACTATCATCTTGCTTTATTCGTATGTCTTGTTATCCAGTGAAAGTGAGATATCAGATAGGTTGAGTGGTTGAGATCGATTGACAGTTGATAGTTTTGCTTTGCGCAATCTATCTATCTTTCACGAATTTTTTATTTATGTGAATTCCTTGTTTTATTTATTGATTTATTATTTCACTCAGAGTTCCGACATTCATGAGGAATCTGTATTTTTAAAAGTGCCTGCTTTTTCAGGTTTTTCGTTCGAACTGATATTTTGTCCTGTTTTTATCTGTTTTTATATTTATATTTATGAAATAAAATAAGTTGTGTTGGCGCTATTTCTAGCTACTTTATTGACATAATTCATGTAATCAGCTGCTTCAAGACACCAATGGAATTATAATAAACTCAGATTAATAGCACACAAATCCTCACTATGCACCTATGCACTGCCGTTTCCTTCCAGCTATAGTATACAACGTACAGCTTAGACCTCCAGTAATGCCATTTCTGAAGCAGATGTTACATCACACCAGAGCCAAACATTGATAACTAAAGCATCGTAGCGCTTAGACAACACGTACAACTACAAACGAGTTCACAACAAATGTCCATCCGCTAGTGCTAAATCAACATCTTGTAGAAAAACCTATGTTATATCAAAAAATCACCTACGATATGTAAAAAAACACATGACATTTTGATTCTGCAATTTTACGTTTTCTAATTTCACTAGATTCTGTCAAGCAGTCTCAGCACAACCCAAAATATATATTAACATCTTACCAATTAAAGCACTTCCAACTCATTTTATTAGGTCAATATAGTGACAGTGATATAACATCAGTAGTTTCTATATCAGACTTAATTAGGTATTTGCTTTTACGCAAGAATATGCTCTCATGGCACACAACATATCTATTTAGAAGAACCGAGCAGAGTTCAATCTAGGTGCCCCGCTATTTTAAATATTAAGTATTCCGCCATTGCTGCTGTTTGATTACGAGAATTTTTCGTATTTTTCATCTTACAAAACCACGTATTAAGCCAGAATTCTTCATATACTATACCGTTAATAAATATTTACTTTCGTTCCTTTGTCTTGGTTAATTTATTCCTGCTTATTAACAATAACTGGATATTTTCTAAAGAAAGCAATGCACGCCGATGTACTCGTATTATATTCCTCTGACAATTTAGTCGGCATTGGCAAGCAAGTCAACGCAAACGCTCGCACTAAGTCTAAGTAATTTTAGCGACAAACACTGCCATGTAATGTAAACATATAAGCGTGTCTCCTTCTGACCTATTCGAGTTCGTTGGTTCTAACTAATGCGTAAAGTGATAAACATTTTTTCAAAATTTACCTTCCCTCCTACAATGCTAATGCCTAAGCTTTTTCCATGTTCCCTGTATACCTTCACGCTGTGACTGCTTCCCCAGTGTTTGTGAAGCATGTTGTCGAACTGATAGCCCGCTTGGCTCTCACTATCCACTGGGCGTATGACGGTCATATCACTGGAAAAAAATTAAATAAATAATTGAAAAAGCCATCTACAGAGTGTTTCAGATTCGACCCTCACACTGGGATCTCGGAAACTGTAAGAGATATGAAGTCGCTCAACGGGGAAAAGTTGCGTACCTATTTAGGTAATCAACAAAATATCACTTAGAAAGATTCGAAATTCAAAATACTTCCAGAGAGAGACGAAAGAGACCGAATTTTCCCAAAATCGTTTCAATTTTTTCCTACCTTTATTAGTAGTGGGATTTCAAAATAAATTACACATTAACATCGCCACTTTTTTCCTTTACAATTTCAACATGACGTTTCGTATCTTGTTCTCTAGCATCAGCTTTATTTTTTCTTATGGACGCCGCATTGGATATTTGCACACATGATCAGAGTTCTTAATTCTGATTCCAAAAAGGTGGTACGTCATACATTGACATTGCCAAGCCTAAGCTATTCCAAAAAAATAGAATTTCCTAGGAAGGCCTTGGAATTATCAGATGTCCTTTGTTTCGCATACCAGATTTATCCCAAAATCACTTTTATATATACTAAGTGACATATAAATCCGAACACCCAGTTTAAATGGTTTTATTTTAATAAAATTTTGTATAAGTACTTAATGAAGCACAATAAGTAAATGATAAAAATTTCAAAATGATTGCACTGCTTTAAAGCCCTTTGACCTTTAATAATGTGCTACGCATCCTCCAACGCGCCTAGGCATGCTTCTGATCAGGTGGTCAATGTCCTCCTGTGGTATCTCATTCCAGGCAACCACCAACTCCTCTCGAAGTGCTTCTAGAGTCTGAGGGGGCCGTTGCAAATTGAGCAATCTCCTACCCATCATATCCCACACGTGCTCAATTGGGGATAAGTCGGGAAATCTTGGTGGCCATGGTAACAATGTGACATCATTATGTTGAAAGAAGTCTATTGTGACTCATTATCTTGTTGGAAAGTTGGATCTGCCAGGGTGTCAAGATAGGGTAAAAGATGGGGTTCTAGAACTTCGTGGATATAACGCTGCGCGTTCATGTTACCTCTGATGAAAATTAAAGGTGACCTGAAATCATAAGCTATAGCACCACAAACCATAACTCCAACAGTGTGATGAACATGTCTTTCAACAAAAAACTGTGGATTCCTCCTTTCACCACGTCGCCTTCTAACCCTGGCACGACCATCGTGCATGCCTAAACAAAATCGAGACTCGTCACTAAAGACAATACTGTTCCATTCCTCATCCCAGAGTGACCGTTGTCTGCACCACTCAAGGCGATTACGTCGGTGTTCTCGAGTTAAAGGGAGGACCCAGTGTGGCCGGTATGAAAACAAGCGAAAACTTCTCATTCGTCGGTAAACACTTCGCATGCCAATAGGTCTTCCGTGTTCTGCAAACCGTTCATTTGCAATGGACCTGGTAGTGGAGAAACGGTTCCTTAAGGCCAATAATCTTATGCGGCGATCTTCACGGCCTGTTGTTCTACGGCGGCGTCCAGGGCCCCTTGCTCTTTGCGTACGGCCTTCTCGAAGCCATGCCTGACAACACCTAACCACAGTGTCTACACTACTTTGCACTCTAACTGCAATTGCCCGAAAAGAAAGTCCAGCTTCCCGAAGTCCCACTATACGGCCCCTATCAAACTCACTAAGTTGACGAAATCGTACAGGTCTCCGTACTCTAGGCATCGTAACCGATCGTAAAGGATGTCAAGAACCAAAATCCGCCAACGTTGATTCTTTAGTGCGGCTGAAATATTCATTTTTAGAGCGTTAGTGAATTAAAAAAAAGCAGTATAAAAACCGGAATATCCAACTGATAAGGCTGGAAATTTTTTCACTTATTATTTACAGTAAGATAAATACATTCACCAACTTTTATTAAAATAAAACCATTTAAACTGGGTGCTCGGATTTATATGTCACTTAGTATATTTCCTGACTTTAGTTGAGGTGGGATTTCAAAATAATTATTATATTGCTTATTCTGCTTTACAAGATGGCGTAGTCAGATTTTCGATTCGACATTTCTTCTTTCGATTTCCATCACCAACTTTGTTTTTCATATGGACGCTATATTGGAATTTTGTACATAAATTTTTTAGTCCTAAATTCAGTGATTTTTTTCCTTAGCCGGCTATTAATTTGTTACTGGTTGAATATTATAAGGAGATAAAGATGTATGTTGAAAAAGGAACACAAAATGAAAATTCTAATGACGGTAATAACAATAATAATCATAAATAAGCAGAGATAAATCGTAGCAGATGTTCCAAATGTTGTCCGTTATTTTGTATGCTAAGCCTGACTCTTTTCTGTACATTGTTCACTGCTCGATTCATTTCTCTTATTCTTAGTCTTCCAATCTCTGTTATGTTCAATTTGAGGTCTGGTCTGGTATACGAAACTAATGAAATCTGACAATTGCAAAGCCTACCTAGGTAATTCTGTTTTCTGGAAGAACTGAGGCTTGTCACTTTTAATGTATGCCATATTATATATTTTTGGAATCAGAATTAGAAACTTTATTTATCTACGCAAAAATCCTTTATGGCGCCCATAAGAAAAAACGAAGTTAATGCTGACAGACAAGAGACTAAACGTCATATCGAAACAAAGGACTATGTGATCATTCCAAGGCCTACCTAGGAGATTCTATTTTTTTTTGAATAGCTAAAGCTTGGCAATGTCAATGTATAACATTTTTGCAATCAGAATTAAGAACTCTGATCACTAGTGCAAAAATTCAATATGGCGTTCATAAGAAAAAATAAAGTTGATCCTGGAGAACAAAAGATGAAACGTCATGTTGAAATTGTAAAGGAAAAAAGTGGCAATGTCAATGTGTAATTTATTTTGAAATCCCACTACTAATACAGGTAGGAAAAAATTGAAACGATTTTGGGAAAATTCGGTCTCATCCGTCTCTCTCTCTGGAAGTATTTTGAATTTCGAATCTTTCTAAGAGAAACAAATTTCATGGCATAGGCTAGGAAATTCTGCTTTTTTAAATAACTAAGGTTTGCAGATTTCAATAAGTGACGTATGATACATTTTTGGAATTAAAATTAAGAACTCTATTCATCCGTGCAAAATTTAATATGGCGTCCCTAACAAGTTGATGCTTTGAGGACAAAAGATGAAACGTCATATTGAAATTCTAATCATACCACTTGTAGAGGATAAAATATGGCCATGTTAATGTGCAATATATTTTGAAATCACACTGCAAATAAAGTTAGGACAAAAATTAAAACGATTCTTGGGAAATTTGGTTTCTTCCATCTCTCTTCGGAAGTACTTTGAATTTCGTAACTTTCCAACTAAATACGCATTTTTGCCCCATTTAACCGACTTCGTATCTCTTACAGTTTCCGAGATCCCAATGGTGAAGGTCGAATTTGAACCACACTGTATATTTCAATTTTATTAGTTAACTAATTATCACTCAAATGTAAGTCTAGTAGTTTGTCTCAACTGTGACAAGTTTTCGATCACACTGAAAAATTAGGAAATATTTAGATATTCCGCTTACGTATCGATTTTTTAAACCCACAAAGTTTTTTTCTCCTTGGCATGGCATAAAAATTTAATCGGAGTATAAGCAGTACTTTTCGAGTTATATAGGGGTGAAGAATTACCGGGCAGCCGACAGACAGACAGATCGATGGGAATGAGTGATATGCGGTTAAAATACTTCCTTACCAACTAGCTTATACCAGTGAAAAATGAGAAACCTCCTAGATTTGGGAAGCTACAGACTCATTGTTTATAAGATTGCCAGGACAATGAAAATATTTTTTTGTAACTTCTTACTTTTATTACTAGAATTCACTATGCTTCCGATACTTGAACGAAACGTATCGGTTTTCTTAGCACTCAAATTCAGCATCGTCAGAACTGTTTTCATACTGACGCAGCCGCCTACGAATAATCCTAAATACCAGGGCACCTCGACTGCTATGAGGATTACAAAAGACCTTGTTAATCGGATTTTTTAACTTCCTAAGGTTGGCGGTATTTGGAAAGCCCCCACAATCTCGATACCTAGAAACAAAGTCTGACAGGTCCGTTTGGCAAGCTCAATTCGCGGCGACATCATGGAGAGGCGAGAGACTGTCCGTTAGAGTAATGTCATTGATCAGTCAAACAGCCCTCCTCTGGACAGCATCGAGTATGACAATGTAGTCGAGGCGGCACAACCCCAAACGTGTGAGCAGTACTCTAGGCTGATTATCATCTGCATGTTTTACAGATTGAGGATATTGTGTGGAAAAAAGTACTTCTTAGCCCTAAACAAATGCTATGACCACTTCTACAATAGAATCAAATAACATATTATCCAGCAGTTCCTGACCTTCAGCTTTGTATGGAGAGATCGTATTGTGGAGCCCGTCTAAGCAAAAGTAGTTTTGTGTTATTCAAACAGATCGTAAAGGTTAAGGAAGTTCCGAAAGAGCTGTCCATTTCATAAAAACATGCAAAGCTCACCTGTATAACACAATCAAAAAAAATCACTTAAAATATACTACAAAACCTGGCACAATATATTCTCGTATCACTCTTAAGGCGCGTCATTTTTCTACATTCTACTTTCGAGACATTGAATGAAAAACTGTGTCGTTTCAAAGCTTACCAAGTCTCTCCGATATTGACTGGAATTAATCCTGTTAACTAATAACATGTGTGGTATCATCTAAAGATAATCACACACTGCAGCTATTCTTAATAAGGTGATCCACACCCTATAGCGGGTTTTTATTCAAATCAAATTCATGGACCTGTAATAATATTTCGAGCGGCTTTTTTGTCGTCTTTAATAGAGTAAATGTATAGCTTTTAGAATTTCTGAATATTTACCACGTTTGTGTTACTGTTATGATCTATATATCTATAATTTGAGAATCGACAGTGCTTGACTTTTTGCAAAAAAGTATCACTGCACCTCATTTTTGATATCCTTTCAATTCTATACTCATTTTTTCCTAAAAGGCGTATTTTG